TGATCTGTGACCAGTAATTGAACTCGCTGAAAGCTCAGATAATGATTTGCAATTTTTAGCAATAAGATATTTTTTTTTAAAGATTTTATTTATTTGACAGAGACACAGCGAGAGAGGGAACAGAAGCAGGGGGGATGGGAGAGGGAGAAGCAGGCTCCCCACCGAGCAGAGAGCCCGATATGGGGCTCGATCCCAGGACACCGAGACGATGATCCGAGCCGAAGGCAGCCGCCCAATGACTGAGCCACCCAGGCGCCCCTCAGAATTTCTTTCCAGGTAGATTCCTTACAGGCTATGAGGAAGGAAGGAAGTGGTGACCATTTATAGCTCACACACCCACCTCATACTTAGAAGACACTAACCCAAATGTTGCTGTGAAATGATTTTGCAGATGTGATTAAAGCACCTAATCAAGTGACTTTAAGTTCATCAAACAGAGTATCCTGGTGGGCCTGACGTAATCAGTTATAAGGCCTTTAAAAACAAAGCCTTCCCTAAGGCTCCAGCCTGTGGAAGAGCATCAGCTGGTGATCCTGTCCTCCTGAGTTGTTGTTCTGAGGACTTGGAGCTTGCTTCGCAGCCCCCACAATTGCTGGCTACTTCTCTTCTACTGGTTCTGCTTCTCAGATGGAGTGTGACTGATCCACTATTTTCTGCAACTTGGCTTTTCCACAAGTACGTGACAGTATCATTTAGTGCAGGAAAGAGCAGAGCTACTTCGTTCCCTGTGCTGTGGATGTGCACTGCTGACCCGTCGTTGTCCGTGAGATACTGCACTCCTGCCCATCCTATGTGTACACAGCACTGCAGTAAGAGCCCGTCCATAAATCCTGGCTGTTGGCATTTCCCGTGAGCTTAACCGTGAACCCACCATGCCATACTCAGTGCAGAGTGCTCCTCTCCAACTACGATCTGACAACTAGTTCTTGGCCTGTCAGCTGTCCTCAGGCTAAGACACCAGATAGAAGAGAAAAGAGAAGTCCAGTTTTGCAGGGTGCCACGTGAAAGACACCTTAGACTATCTGAAGTTCTCCCCAAGTTCCTGCTTTCCCCAGGGAGCCTGAGTGGGACCCTTACCTGGGGCGGGGACCCTCACCTGGGGCGGAGCCCCTGTGTTCCCTCCAGACCTGTGTCCTCCCACTGGGGCTGGACTCCTCTGAGGCTGCCTGGCGCTCTTGGCAACACTGGGTCCCTCCCGGGAGCTGCAGCTCCCACACTTAGGGAAAGGTGCCCAGGCCTAGCAGTGAGGAGCAGGCTGGTGGTGCCCTGAGCAGGTGCCCGTGTCCCCGGGCAATTTAGAAGGTCCAAGGTAAAGAGGATGCAAGCGATTCTGGGTGAAGAGGAGAGGACTGCTCCTGGGGTTTCGTGTGCTAACACTTGGTTCTGTGCTACGTGTGGCTCCTGGGAGGGTGGACATCTCATTTCAAATCCCAGCCAGTAGGGAAGTGCCACAGCCAGCCAGTGACGCCTCCCGCCCACCACCCTTGCTGACCTGCACGCCTGTTTGTGGTGCAGCTACAACCAGTCATGACCTGCACACCTTCCTCTGCCCCAGGATTCCAGGAATGGATTTGGGAACGTGTTCCTCACAGAAACCGTAAAATGGAGCCTCTCGGAGAATCTGTGCAGTTGTCCTGCTCTTATGTTTCACTCTGTCTGACTGTCCTTGAAATTGCTGCCCCACAAACCACATTCCGGGGCATCTCCCCAAAGTATGACTGGATGTGTGACGAGGAACAGTACCCATCTCCATTGTCCCCAATGTTCCATGCCCCAGACCTTCTTTCCTGTCACTGAGTCTCTACTCCATCACTCTTCCTCGTCGGGAAGGGCTCCAGCTTTGCTGTAGGAGGTTCCCCACGTGGGATCTGACAAGTCCTGCACTTGAGCAGACAGAGGCTCTAGACTTGTTCCCCACCCAGCTGCACAGGCTCAGGGCCATTTAGAGCTGCTTTCTCCACATCAGGCCCCACTGGGAAGAGCAAAATAGAACCAGGAAAAGCA